ATAGATGCCTATATCTTAATATTTAAATCTCTAATGCACATTTCTAAAGTATTTATACAAGATATTAATATATTCATACGATATTCTTGCAAGATAATTTTTAGAGATTAAATCAAAAATAAAAATTGATATATAAAAATATTATTTGAAACTTATTTATTAAATTATAAGCAATTGAAGTGGGTTAAAAAAAATTGAAGAAAATGAAATGAAATGCAAAAGAAGATCGCTGAATTTTCAACTTCTAATTATAATATAATAAATAAATAATAATAAACTTTAATCGAAATTTTTATGTATCAACTTTTAAATTTGTTTTAACCTTCTAAATAAATTCTCTAAAAGTATTCTGCAAATATATACTTATAATAATATATGGTAATAATACATTTGTACATATATTTATAATAACATATAAATCTTTTGCGATATATAGAAATAAATTTATATAATATATATAAAATATGAAATATAAAATAATATTATGTTATATTTATTTATGACATAAAAATGTAAATATATAATATATATATGTGACATATATATATATATAAAAATAGACATATATAAATATGTATACTTACGAGATATAATTAATTTTTAATTAATAGGAAAAAAAGACAATAAAGTTAATTATATATGAAAACTTGAGCATATAAATTTTGCAGAACAAATATAGACAAAGAAAAAAAAATGAAAGAAGGACAGAGATAGAATAAAAATTGAAAATCAATGCCATTTTAAAATTATCTTAGATGAAAAAATATAGATAAAATAAATAAATAAATAGAAAAAGGATAGAGATAGTGTAAAAATTGACAACCCTATCTCTTGAATATAAAAAATATTTTTTTAGAAGTAATCAAGAGGTATTTTTGAAAAAATATCTTTGGCACAGAGATGGCGCTGATAGTCAATTCTTAATTACATATTTTTATTTTTTTTCTTTTTATTTTTATTTTGATTTATTTTATTTATTTCATTTATTTCATTTATATTATCTCATTTATTTTATTTATATATCTAATTTAGAAATGGCGCTAATTTTCTAATTTTTATGAAGATATAATCATGAACGCTTAATTATTTTGTTCTTCCATTTTATATTTTTAACAGCCACAGAATCTGTTCATAGTCATTCATATATATCGAAATATATTCATATATATTTAATTTTTATATTTTCATCTTATCTTTATTTTTCTACTATTCTATTATACTGTCCTTATTTATTTTGTATTTTCTCTTACTATATATATGACCATAGATGAGATATGAATATAATTTCTATTAATTATTTTTCTTTCTAAGAAACTATAATATGTCTTAATCTTTAATATAAAAATATAGATATTATATTCTCATTTTATAATGTATTTCTAAGACGACTATTTAGCATAATTCGCCATATATGGTATAAAATACTATTCAATATAGCAATGAGATTTAAATTTAACAAAAATTTAATATAGTAATAAAAAGAAAATAGAAAGAAATTTTGTACTCTATTAAAAACAATATTATCAAAAATTCGTTGAATCTATTCTCTTGCTTTTTTTACATTTATATATGTAAACATCATAATTTTTTTGTCATAATATTTATTTATTATATATTATATTTATATATAATATATATATTATTATATATATATATTATATTTTTGTATAATATATAAATACAAAAATTATAAAATATTTAAATTTTTTTAGAATTTCATCTAATATAACTATACTTTTGTTCCTCTTGATTTTAATTCAAATATAAAAATATATCATATTTCATAATTATTAATTTTTTTTTAATTGTTTATACATTGTATTTTAAGATATTATTATGAAAATAATAATAATGAAAAAAATAATTTGATTATTTGAGATATTTGAATTATAGTAACTACTTGTTTGAATAAATTTTTAATGTAATAGTTAATTTTCAATATTAATTTATTAATTTTATATTATTTTAATATAATATAATAATGTATAATATTAATATTTCAATTAAATTTAAAAATAAAAAAATTTATTATTAAAATTATTAAAAAAAAATAAGCAAATAAAAGTTATTTCTAATATTTTCAAATATAGATTGTATAGGGAATTTATTTTTATTATTTTAGTAATCTTATATTAAATTATAATTATGGAAATAATTATATAATAATATATTATTAATAATAATAATATTAGGATTATAAAATTAAAGATATTTTATCATATATGATTTTATATTATTCATTTTTAATTATTCAATTGCAATTTCATTTTATGCTGTACCGTTAACATAAGAATACTAATATTTAATAAAAAGATTCAAGAGCCCGCCTTTATATAAGATAAAAAATAAGAATAAATGATATTATTTAATAGATAATTAATATTGGTAACATTGTTTGTCACACGCTAAAAAAAATTCCCTATTCAAACATTAAAATGGCTAAAGGATGACAACATACAACTGTCACTTGAAGAAAAAAAAGTTAATATTTCGAAGAGAAATAAGGGAAAATGTCTCATATTCAATATGTGGACGAATTGGTCAAGGAATATTTGCTATTTAGGGGTTTCAGTCAAACTTTGAAGGCTTTTGATAACGATTTGAAAGCTGAGAAAGAGAAAGGTTTCAGGGTGAGCGCGTAAGCACTTAAAGTGATTAAAAAAAAAAGAGATAAAACTATATGAAAATAATATGTACAAATTTTATTTAATTAAGAAAATAATAAAAATAAAGTAAAAAAATAAGATATTTTATAATCTATTTATAATATTTATATTTTTTAATTTGAAATAAATTTACTACCATTTGTTCATTTCTGTATGATGATTTGATTCTAATTAAAATTTTTCATTATTTTTTTATCAGGTTGATAAAATTGTTGATCAATTGATGCAATATATATATAATTATGATTTAGCATCTTTAAGAGAATTATGGGGACATTTAGACATGAGAATGTTCTCTCGTTTAGAAAGTCATTTCACACCAGCTGTGAGAAAATTAGAGAATGCTGTTTTAAAAATGTATTTAGTTAATGCAGCAGTAAACAATAAACAAGATAGGATTCAAGAATTTTTTATAAAAATGACACCAGAGTTGCAAGGGCATTCAGAATGGAAAGAATGGTTTGGTAGGATACTTTATTTTTTTTTTTTTTCTTCTATATTTTTATTCATATAAATTGCAGAAAAAAATATTTTGTATTTTTTTTTTTTATTTTTACAGCATTACCATTTGTTAAAAATCCTGAAGACAATCCAGCATATTCTGTTCATTTTAGTAGACAGTGGCAGGACACTATGTTAGTGTCCCTGCATAATTTTCTTGCTACTATTTTTCAAGTAGGTGAAAGGTATTTTGCATCGTGCCTCTCATTTATAAATTTTAATATTTTAAATTATAAAAAAAAATATATATATATTTATTAATAAATATAATATTTATATAATATATATTATATAATTTTTTTATAAATATATATATATATATATTTTTAATTAAGCAATGTACAATCTAATTTTTTATTTATTAACTATAGTGTATGCCACAACCAACATTGCTTGCAATAGATGAAGATACAAATAGATTAAAACGTCTTCAAGAAGAGAATGAAATATTGAAGCAACGTTTAAGTGAATCTGTTAAAATAGAAAATGTAATGGATGTGAATCCAGGACCAGCTCCTCAACAATTACCACTCATGGATGACTTTTATATTATAGCACAGTAAATATTTTCACTAACCATTTCATAAACAAAAATAATTTAAAAATAATTTATTCTATATTATTAATGTGTTATTATGTTTCTCTTTATTTAAATAGAGAATCTCCTTTATTAGAAAATCCTAAAACTTTAAGAAATCTCATAAGAAATATAGGCGGTGGTTCCAGTCCAATTTTAAATAGAAAGCCTGGAACAAGTACAAAGAAAGTTGTAGAATCTGAAGTAATATCAACAAAAAGAACTAATACAAAAGGAAAAATAAATTCAATCAATAAATCTGAACCTGTTAGTAAAAGAAGCATTAGCTGTGATTCAAGATTAACAAGTTCTAGAAAAAGAGATTCATCTATTGATACGGTAGCCGAACGAAAAGCTAAAGATAAAATCGATTCCACTTATATTCTTCTGAGTCAAGTAAAATATTATTTGTATATTGTATATTATGTGTATTTATAGAGAATATTTTACAATTTTTATAAAAAAAAATTATTTTTAGGAAGAATATACAGAACATAAAACATCAATAATTCAATGTAAAAGTAATGCAAGTGGTTCTTACGTTGCTACAGGTGATGCTGATGGTATTATTAAAGTATGGACTCCGATACCATCACCAAAGTAATTATATTGAATACTTATTTAGATATTAAAATATTAATTATAAAAGAATATCAATTTTTATAATTACAATTTTGCTAAATTTACTTTTTATTTTTTGTTATCGAATAGAACTGTCACTACATTTGTCTCTACTCCAGCAAACTCAAATAAAGCTATTACAGCATTAGACTGGATATCAAAAAATGAACGATATTTTTTACATGGAGATAATAATGGTCTAATTCAATTACATGATACTCGCGATTACAAAACTTTATGGGATATTCAACACGAGAACTCTCGAATCATTACTTTATTATGCAATCCAACGGAATCGACATTTGTATGTTCTGTATCTGATTCAAATGAAGGAAAATTATTATTATATGATATAAAAACAAGAAAATTAGAAAGAATTTTGCCAATGGAACAAAATGTAACTGCGCTATGCTCCGCGTTTAATCATAATGGGCAACTTCTTATTACGGGATTATCTAATGGAAATATTTTAATACACGATTTAAGACGAAACGAAATTATTGATAACATAAGTTGTCATGCAAGTCCAATTATTGATATAGAATTAATTAATGATTACACAAATATTTGTACACAAAGTGAGGATGGAAAACTTTGTCAAAGAAGTTTAAATCATTCAGGAAAGATTTTATGGGAAACAAAAATTAAAGTAGAAAAAAATACAGTTCATGGAAAATTATTTACTTTCGATCAAAGTGGAAACTATATGTTACTTTGTACACAAACTGGAGGAAATATATATAAAGTATATAATTTTCACTATCTAGTTATATATTAAATATTTTTAATAATTTTATTATTCAATTTGATACTAAATATAATATAAATTTTCAGATGCCACCAGGTACACAAGCAAAAATTTTAGAATTAGGTGGACATAAAGGTACACTCTGTTGTGACTGGTCTACTGCCAATCAATCCGGAACTTGTATAACTGGTGGCGCAGAAGGAAAAGTACGTGTATCGACGTTACTTTCACCATGATACAGAAGCAAAATTAGTATCTGTGTGAATTCATGAAATATCATGTAAAATTTATAAGACTAGCTCAAATTTGTAGATACTAAATATTTAGTATAATGAATGTTAAAAAGAAACTTTTTAGTCATTATGTTGCATAATGAAATTTAAGAATATCATTTAAAAGACATTCAAAGTATTTTATGATACTTTGAAGAAAAAATCCAAATATTTTATGAAAAGTACAATGAATGCAAACGTATCATGCGTTAGCGTAAAGTTAAATGTATTATAATCTTTATCTATCTTTAAAATGAAATCAGGGACTATCAATTGTAAAATGTACAGAAACTATTATAATTGTAAAAAAAAAAAAAAAAAAAAAAAATATAAGACACATTAGGATATATAATCGAAAGATTTTGTAAAAAAAAAAAGAATAAACTTCTAATAATTTAAGTAGTAATTATAATGTGTACATCTAATATTGGAAATCTAAAATATATCTGTAAGGGATACAGGAATTTATCAATAAATATTGATCAATTTTAAAATATCTCTATATTCTAATTTAATTTAATAAAATACTGATAATTTCTTTATACAAGGCATATACTTTGCTTTTATAATTAAATTAATTCTTACCCTTATTTATTTATTTTAACATGATAGAAGTTTTAAATGTGATTTTTTCATAGACCAACGATTAAATGGACCAGTCATATCTAACTGAGGAGACCAATACCGTCTGAGAGCTTCAATTATTTCAGCAGGTGTTATTGGTTTTGTTACAGCTACCTGCTTAATTATTTAAAAAAATAAAAACATAATATGTTTCTTTATCTTTTTGTATTCAATATAATAAAATGTTACAAACCTTCCCATGATAATATGGTTTGTAAGTATAAGGATTAACATAACTAAGTCTTAGACGATCTATTGCATCTCCAAATATTTTATTTTGATCTTGTCTTACTAATAATGCAAAATCTATAATTTGTGCTACTGTTTCATATGCTAAATAACCCAAAATTGTATATGCTTGTTTTGATATTGTTATATCACCTAAAATTGATATAATTATATTATAAATGATATAATATTAGAATCTATTTGATAAATAGATAGAAATAACTAGAAAATATATGATATTTCATAATACATAAAACTTACTTTCTGATGCTATCCAATCACTAAATTTGTGTCGATTTTTATTTGCAAATGATGCATTACGTGCTTTACTAAATTTTAAATATCTAGCTTCATCCATAGATCTTGTCATAATTTCAGCACGAACACATCTTTGTTGTTTAACTTCATCTATAGTAGATGCATCTTCAAGAAGTTCACCTGTGTTATTAATTTCATTAAGAAAACTATAAAGTGGTCCTTTATTTTTGGATCCATTTAAATTTTCATTTTCCAGAATATCTTCAGGTAAATCACTATCTATAGTTTTGTGTATAGAAGCTTTAAATTGTTTTAAGTCTGGAAAATATGATTATATAAAAATATTTGCAAAAAATAACAGATACAAAAGAACATTATAAAAAATAAAATTTTTTAATTTACAATATTGAGATCAAACTTGCCTAAATATTTTATAAGTCGCTGCAATTTTACTTTGTTTTTACGTAATAAAAAAATTAGATCTTCTGCGGAAACACAGATATTCTTTTTCGAATTTCCTCGTCTTTCAGAAACTTCACAAGCTTTCTTTATTATTGTTCTCATTTGTTGCAAAACAACTTCTTCTACAATTTTCGCAGATTCAATTAATGGTTCACTACTGTCTCCAAATCCATGCATCATTTGACGAATTTCTATAAAATATTATTCTTATTCATAAAAAATTTAAAAATAAAAATATAAACAAATATAAAATATAAAAATATTATAAAAAATTGAAATATACCAGTCGTGTAATTTACAGGTTCGTTTCGAAAAAATGGTGAATCATTTGTTGGCTTACTAAATGATGATTCAGTCATTATTATAAATTATTTAATAACTTTTTAATAAAATAAACTTTTTAATAAAAAAAACATTAGAATATTTCTTGCAAAGTAAATAACGATTATTTATATTAATTCAATAATTATTAGGTTATATTTTACACATGTCATAGATAACTGATGATAATTTGTAACATCAATTTATTTTATTTTAATAAAATATTATTTTACTTAAAATTAATGATATAAAATAATAACTTTATTCGATTATTTGTCTAAACAAAATTTTATATTATTATTTTCATTGTTTATATAATTTATATGATTCTATTATATCTAGTTAATTTTTGACATCTTATGAAAAAAAGTTCAACTTTTATTATTCAATAATATAAAATTAAGATGTCTAAATATATATCATTACATTTTTTATCTTACGCGCAATATATGAACATTATGATTTGAAATATTAAAAGTTGAAATGAGTAAATATATATTTTTAGATTATTTATATTTGTTAATTAAAAAAATGTATGTAACTGCATATTTAATAAGTTTTTTTATAATTTTTCATTATGATTTTTATTATATATAA